TTGAAAGGGAGTGCTTACATTTCTTAGTGCTAGTTAATATAAAAGCTGTTACCAAGATAACTTGTTGTAGCATGTGACCTGGTCACATTCCGTTCTCTTAATATCTGTCCTTCACGTTCTGAACTAAGAAATCATGGATTAGTTTACTTCATTCCATAATAAGCCATTTTTAATTCCTAATGTTATTAAAGGTTGTTGTTTTAGCTATTTGGCGAATACATGGCTTCCAGGAAGGAGCAAGGAATAATGATTTCCATCACAAGTCATGAAGTAAACCAGCATCCTTTTCACTTCAAGGAACGCTTTAAGGCATTTCAGATTTAAATGATATATTCTTATGACTGAGTTTTAGTAAATGAATTGTTTCTAACTATAGCTGTGGCAGTTGAAGTTAGCCACAGTGTTCAAGAGACTAATCCCTATGCTGAAATGGCTAGGATAGGGCATTTCTAGTAGATAGACTGGGACTCTCAAAACTTGCTTCCCCTATTAGTCTATGTTTGTTTATTTGTAGTGATCAATGCAAGTCTTATCACTCATTTCTAGATTTTGGTTGCAAATACAGGATTGGGTGGGTATTTTTAGAGTTTTGCTTGATGTACCTAGAAAAATGTAACATCCTATATAAATTTAAAAAATTAAAGCAGTCACTGGCTAACTCTGCCTTATAATACATAGGAGCAGCTTGTATTGATATCCCTGTAGGACTTCAGTGGAGTTTTACCTAAGAAACCAGAGACCAAAGTTGGGCAATTAGTTTTCACTTTGAAACTTCCCTACCACCTCCATTCCATCATTCCTGTGTCCTCTAAATTGAATACATCCCCAATTCCCTCCCTCCTACCCCACTTCCTCCTCCCACCCACCAAAACCTGCCTTGTAGCTAAATTAGAAAGAGCTCTTTACCAAGTGTTTTCCCTTATCTTTTTGTTTTAGTTGATGTGCAGTACATTAATTAATGTGCAGTATATCATGAAACTATGCTGGATTTTTTCTCTTCATATATATCTCACTGTTAGTCACATGCCAGATAGTTACTAGAGGGCGAAAAAGTATACTCAGTAAGATCTAAGCAACAGTAGTGAGGCTCTTCTCAGTCTGCCTCTTGGAATATGCCATTTGGAATTTATGTAGTTTTACAAAGGATCATTGCTTTGTGAATAAAATTCATCATGTAATTAAAATCAGCAAGGGCAGTTTCCTAAATGAACGTACAACTTTCTTCTCCCTGCTGGGTGCATCTACATGAGAAACTACGTCGCCATAGCAACGTGGTAGCCATGCAGTGGCAGGCACAAGCCACAACGCTCCCTCGCTATAGCGTGTTACTACAACAACATAGCAGCTAAAATAACCGTGTAGCTCCCGCATGGTACATTATGGGCTGTTACAGTGCCGTCATTTAATCCTTCCAGAAGGAAGTACTAAATGATGACGCAGTAACAATGGCACCATAGGGGCATGTGTAGATATGCCCACTGTGTCTGTTTTTTTCTTAGACAAATTACATATATTTCATTGTACTGTGATTCACTTACTTATGTTTAATAAAACAACCTTGACAGATTAGTTCATCGTGACTGTCAGACACTTTGTTTTGTCAAGTTAGTTCGGCTGTGCCATACCCATAAGGTTTACAAGCTGAGGCCTTACTTTTTTTCTTTAAAAAGTTATGAACGTGAACAGCAAGTACATTTTATATGAAAGAGCTTTATCCATTCTTAATTCATTCCCTAAAAATACAAATTGTTGAACTCATGTAGTAATAAAAACAGATGCTGGAAATGTTCATCTGTTAAACTGTACACTGCACATTATTGGGAACTTTTTTCTTTTCCTTGTTTTTAAACAAAGCCTATAATATTGCTTGCGTGGTGGCCCAAAAATGGTAATCTGCACTACTGCTCATCAAAAAATCCAGGGCTCAGCAGCATACTTCCTTGCTCACTATGAGTTAAGAGCTCTATCCCACAGAACTTCACCAAGAGAAAACGGCACTCAGCATCCACAAGAGGTGCTCAAGTGCTTGCAGAATGAAACCCTATAAAACTCCTGTTCTGTTGTTTTCCTAGCCAATGATAGGCAGACATTCTGTAAGTCTAATTAGGTCAGCCTTTAGAGGAGAGAATATACCACATGTTATACAATGATTAGACTGGATAAAGAGTGCTGACCCACTGTCTCTGAAGGAAATCCTGTCTAGTCTTTAGTAGGAAGGGGCCACGGAGGTAGAATACTCTAAAGGTTTAAGGAAGTGGGGTAATTATTGGGGCTATGCCTGGAACATAGAGAATTTCCTTCCCACCCAACCAGGCCGCCCAGTACACTTTTTTTTTTTTTTTTTTTTTTTTAA